TCTTGGCGATGCTGTGGCTGCGCGTGGTGCAGCTGCCGTTCGGTTTGCTTGCGTTGTCGCCGGCGGAGTTGGTGGTTATTGATGGTCGTCTTGAGAGGAGAATGGGGATTTTTGTTCAGTCGTGAACATGGGAGTACTTGAAGATTTGAGAGACATTGATGATAATGGCGGGTGGTAGAGGTGTTTAATTTTGTGCTGGGGGTTTGTGGGGGGATTTTGAGAGGGAGTTCTCGGCCTTGGTTGGCGATGTTGAGCGTGGTGGGGTTTTATTTTGTGGGGTTGCCTTCGGCTGGGGTTGTTTGTTTTAGGGTGGGGCTTGGGGTTTATGGGCTGTTGTTGGGGTTTTTGGTTGGGAGTTCGAGCAGTGCAGGATTGTTGTTTGTGTTGGTACTGAGCATTGACTGGGCTGGTGAGGCCGAGAAGGTGCAGAAGTTGGTGGCAATTAGAGATGTGGGAAATGGAATGGAGAATTTGGCAGCTTAATTAGAAGCTTAACAATAATCCAGAATATTCCATTCATTTTTCTCAAGAATATCATGCATTAATTTAAGGAGTACATATATTATGGACTGCGGCCGTGTCCTAATGGTTACATATTAGAGATTGACAAAATGCTCTCTCCCTCTACAACCATGATGGCACTGAATAGGGTCCAAATTCCTATTTCCTACTTAGATATCGTAAAGAAATATCACCTGATCCGTAGAGAGAGATTAAATTTTTAAAAAAAAGGAAACAGTCCACAAGCTCACCGTGCTCCTTACTTATTAGTATATCTTACTCAGTGTGTTTAGACCAGACATTTGCTCTTGTGATCCAACAGATATAGTACATTGAAGAAATCTACCGTCGTTGCCTTGTGGGAAAAATGCTCCTAAATTTCACGGTAGCAGTTGCATTCCGCATTACATTTATGATTGTAATCAAATAATGACAACTCTATGGATCCATGGAACTAAACCACTATCCTCACCCTCAACAGTTAGCGGTTACAACTTACAAGGCAACAGCAACATATATTACAGAGATTTAGCTCTAATTCTTGCGATGTTTTTTGGGAATTTACCGAATACTAGTTTCCTAAATCAAATTGTCTTCAACCCTTTTTCTTCCATTGACAGCAAAATTATTGAGCAAGGTGTCCGCTGTGTAGTTATCTCTTTATGATCCTGCTGTTGTGATGAAGTATTCATGGAGATGCAAAAGCAGCAGCTGTGACGTGAGTGAGCTCACAAAAGCAAAAGTTTAATCAAACTTGGGCATTGTCTGCCAGAAACGGTTACAACAAGAAACCTTTGCTGTTGTCACCAAAAAATCCTTGACATCCACTACGAAAAAAGTTGCCTTTTATGAGAGAAAAAAGGAAGAAAGAAAGATAAAAGATAACCTCTTTGAGCTTTCCCCATGGTGCCAAAGGAAAGAGTCTAGTCTATGCAACCTCAATGATTAGCATTAAGCTCCTCTGTAATGACTAATGATCGCCAATGGACGCTAAGAACTGTAGTTGATGAAACCAATGATAGCACTGGAGGCTGGTTCAAGCAAAATTGTCACGTAAAAAGATATGAAAGGTATATTTATTAGCATATGCTTCAATCCTTCGAGATAATAAATTCTCTAATTATGTTTTTCCTAGCACATTCCAACATTCTATTTAGTGTAATCCACGTTAGCATCAGCTAATCCGAATCCTCATTTGCTAAAAGGATATTATAAGCTAATGCTCAACTAATAGAAAGTAAACAAAGGAAACAATTATGCATAGAAGATAAGACTCAAGTGGTACCAAGTCCTTAAAATTAAGCCAAAAAGAAGAGAAATGATGGGTGGAACAGTGCCTATCATTTTTGCCTTGTTAGTGGACATTCACATCAAATGCATTTTGCAACAAACTCAATTCCACTGAGTTACTGCACTATCATTAGGCACTCTTAGCAAGTAGCAAAACGTAACACTGCACTTATTAGGGAAAAGAAAACACATCATGCATGTGTGACCACCGTAATGAATGAGAAAAGCATGCAGGCCTCTCTTTTAATAAGCAGGTACAATGTCCATTTCTTTCCTCCAACAAAATTCATGGATTTCATGCTCTCATTCTGGCAACCACACTAAGATTGCAAGCCCCAGCTTCGTTGAAAATTAAAGAAGATAAAGTCATTTCCTGACTACCTCTTTCATTAAGCAATGCCAGATGGGGAGAGAGAAGCAGCAGTAACACCTCAACCAAGATGGAGTTCAGGTATCAAGAAGACCATCATCTCTGAGCTTCGAGCACAGGGAGGAATTGCTGCTCCTTTGGCTGCAATGAACCTAACTTGGTTCGCCAAGACAGCCATCACAACCGCCTTTTTAGGCCATCTCGGGGATCTCCAACTAGCCGGAGGAACTCTTGGCTTCACCTTTGCCAATGTAACTGGATTCTCGGTATTAACAGGACTGTCTGCTGCCATGGAGCCAGTATGTGGCCAAGCCCATGGAGCTAGAAACCACAAACTTCTCCACAAAACGCTTCTCATGGCAATCCTTCTCCTTTTGGTAACATCTATCCCCATCTCTCTCCTATGGCTCAACATCGATAAAATTCTCTTGCAATTCGGACAACAAAAGAACATTGCTTTACTTGCGAAGAAGTATACTACGTATCTTCTCCCAGACCTTGTAGTAATCTCATTTCTATGTCCTCTTAAAGCCTATTTGAGTTCTCAAGAGGTGACACTACCAACATTATTCAGCTCTGGTATCGCGCTAGCTTTTCATATACCTCTCAACATCTTACTTTCAAAGACAAAGGGACTTCAAGGTGTGGCCATGTCCGTATGGTTAACTGATCTTATCGCCATGCTAATATTGGCTGTCTATATCTACAATATGGAAAGAAAGAAAAAAAGTGATATTGTTAAGATGTCTTCGGAGGAAAGAGGAGGTTGGTGGGATCAAAATCTTAGAGATTGGATTCAACTGCTGAGACTATCAGCACCATGTTGCTTGACCACATGCTTAGAGTGGTGGTGCTGGGAGATAATGGTCTTGCTCACAGGTAGGCTGCCTGATGCAAAAAGAATGATTGCAGTAATCGCTGTCGTCCTCAACTTTGACTACCTCCTTTTCTCAGTAATGCTTTCTCTGGCCACATGTGCTTCGATTCGTGTCTCTAATAAGCTAGGTGCAGGTCAGGCTCAGACTGCTAAAGAGTCTGTCTATGTTTCAGTAGGTACTAGCATAATAGGGGGTTTCTTGGGAGCATTAGCAACGATATGTGCAAGGGGACATTGGGGATATTTGTTTAGTCATGACAGAGAAATTGTAGATGGAGTGAGGAAGATGATGATGGTGATGGCTATAGTGGAGGTGGTTAACTTCCCAGTGGCTGTATGTGGTGGTATTGTTCGTGGAACAGCACGGCCGTGGTTGGGGATGTATGCTAGTCTTGGAGGATTTTACCTTGTGGCCTTGCCCCTGGCAGTTGTTCTTGCTTTTAGAGCAAAGCTGGGACTCAGTGGCCTGTTGCTGGGGTTTCTGGTGGGTTCTGCAGTTAGTGCAATCTTGTTGGTTGTGTTTATAGTATGCATCAATTGGTCCAAGGAAGCAGGAAAGGCAAAAAGGTTGGCTGGAGTAAATATAGGGGATGAAGACGGAGATGATGAAAAGGAAGTTAAAGAGAATATCAGAGTGTAATTTAGTTGGTACAGTAGGTTTCGGTTCTTCCTTTCTTTTGTCTTTTCCTTGTTGATCATGAACCCAGAAGGGAACAAGCTTTATGCTCATACATGCAGATGTCATTACGAAGAATCATTCTCAGATCAGCAAAACATCTGAACTGATTGCAGGCTTTATAAATAGATTTCTTGCATTTGAAGCTAGTCAATCTGTATCTTGGTTTCCTACATGAAAGATGTCACAAGCTTGAGCTTGAGGAATGGTATTTAGGTTACAGTCTTATGAGAAGTGCATATTCAAACTATTCCAACAATAGCTTTGAATGATTCAATCAGCAGAGATGCCTTCTTAGGCAAAGATGTGTCCCATACAAAGGACTCAGGCTCATAAGCATTTTCCTCAAATAAAGTACCCTAATGATTCAGAATTACAAAACCATCATAGCTCTAGCAGATAGTATGTCCTCAGAGCATATAGACTTTACTCACCCAAACTGACGATAGATATATCTTTGCCAAGGTTCGGTTCCACTGACTAGTCTTTCATACCCAAGTCGTGGTGTGGGATCTATGAAAACTTGCAAATTAATCAAAAAGACCATAATAATCCTACAAACACAATTTATCACAAGAGATGGAGGCTTCTCACTCCCATAAGGACTGGTTCTCCAAGATCCAAAGAACCAGCAAGCACATCTGTAACTGCTAAACATCTAACTGTAACAATGAAAAAATGCTTTTTGACCATAAACTACCAACTTAACTGTAGTAGGTTAACATCAATGTGAAGTTGCAGACTTTGAAATTTGAACAATCCCACAACAAATTTGTTTCAAAAATAGCTACCCTGTGATTCAAATCCAATACCACACTTAAGGAGTAGGGTTGATCCTTTGTATCCCAGTATTCATCGATGTCGAAATTTTGTGCTCGGTTTAGTGCTCTAATAGCAACATTTCTCATATAGCGGAGTAAAGCTGATCCACAAGTTGAAGATTGATTTCAACAATTCAACTAGTTTTCAGTCTCTACAGAGTTTATCTGAAGTGCTAAGATTTGAGTCCTTGCCATTTGCCAATAACATCCTCACACAAGGAGGACAGGGGAATCCCTGATTTTTCTGAAGAACCCCATTTTGGGAACCCAGCTAATAGAGATATACCATGACCAAAGAAGGGATTTGAGAAGAGTAGCTCACTCCGCAATCAAGAAAGTGAGACTTCCATCCAATATTACACATAGGATTCTAATATCAGAAAGAAAAAGGCATTTTTTTAGTAAGAATATCCAAATAGGAGAACACTGTCACTCATAATGGCTAGAACATGGATATGGCAAAAATCATTTCCATGTCTTTGTAAATGACTGCCCCATAAATTACATTAGGTATATACAATCAGCTGCTCTCCATTAATGTCAAACTGTGCCTATGCATTATGTATAAAGGATTCAAAGATCAGTTTAACAACTAACAGAGTGGGTGTTTACCAAGCATAAGGATATCAATATAGGAGAACTAGTTCCTTCGATGGCTATGCCTCCATGGTAATTGGTAATCAGCTTCAATAATTTTTGGCTTTACAATGGCAATAAAATTATTGCATACTTTCCCCACTGCTGCTTTTGTGTAAATGAATTCGGAAAATGCCATTCGTGAGGTCTGACACCAATCAACAATTCACCTATGTTAGAGACTCATGAGTTTCAGCATGTCTTTGATGCATTTAATTCTCTTTATAATGTGTAAGAATTATTTTTTTTCCTAGAGCTTGAAGCCTCGAAGATATTCAAATGCATGCCACTCATTAATTTTTATTATGCATTGTATCTTTTCCAAGTTTGGTAACTTCGATTATAGAATCAATGCAACACGGAAGTCCTTAGAATCCACCAAGTGTGCTCTTCGAATCCACAAAGAACGGTCTCCAAATCCACGAAGAAAAATAATGTAAGAGGAATTTATTGACGAAAAGTTATGCCTCTAGGGATTATAGTCCTCCGGTTAAATAGAAAAACAATCTAGACTCCTACTACTACCCTAATTTTACCAAAAAATAGAACTAACAACACTATCCTTAAAAGACTGAATGAGGAAACAAATCAGTCAAATTTGGAGTCAAACCGGATTTGTTTACTAATCAGAACAGACTCGCATTACCCAAATCAGTAAAAAATCTCAATCCGGAAGCAAACCGAACAAGTCGAGATAAATAAAGATAAATCCTAGATATAGGACGATAGTGATGAAGAAATGATAGAGCCAGAACTTGAAACAATAGAGTAAGGAACAGTACCAATTTTAATGCAATTGACCAGTTTCAGATGAATCCGCGGCGTTCGAAAGAGGCCTCAACCATGGTTCTTGTCGAAATCGTCTCCTCTTCCATCAGGGATTCGTAAATTCTCTCTTTCCTTTGATAAATTTTTAGGGTTAACTTTAGGAGCTTTTTTTTTTTTAGGGTTCTGGGGTTTAATTGAGCGGGAGAGATGAGGCTAATGGCAAACTGCTAATTAAAGGAATCGATGATCTCAATTCTAATTAAAGGAGGAGTCTAGGAAATGCTATAGTTGCTAAAGTCCACTTTCAAAGCCAATACTCATGGGCGGGCCCAAACAAGTAAATCAAGCCCAGCCCATAACTGTGGTCTGGACGTTAACACGACACTGAGGGCGGTCACAGCTTGGGCCTTTTCGTTTGAACAGGCTTTGATTCCCGTTTGAAGTTGCCCGTTTTGTCATTTTCTGAAAACATTTTCATTGTGACATTGTAAATGAGGAAAGATGAAGTTCTTTACATTTTGCTCGTACAAAACATCCATATAGAATTCAAATTCCCGTCACCCTTTTGTCTGGTTGAAAGAAAAATATGATATATTTTTTTATTCAATTAGACTTTAATTCCTTGTCTCTGCATGTCTTAAAAGAAAAGGTGACGCATGGTACGGATGGCGTCCGTTTGTTTCATACGCCGGGGACAAATATCATCGATAGAGAAGCGATACATTGAGCATGTTGTAAACTTACACTGCCTAGTAACTAACCTTTTAATACTCCTCAAAAAAAAATTATTGTGTCGATATGGTATGTTTTTTTTTTACCATATATGCATTTCCACTTCTATAAGACTTAAAAAACAGTCAAATAATGCAGCCGTGATTTAATTACATATGGTAACGTGTATTTTATGTGTACTTGAAGAGTTAATAAAAAGATTCAGATCATCTCCATAATTAAAAGAAGTAGTGGAAGGACCATTATTTAATCACAAGCAGTAACTATCTAGTGGTCGGTTGTGATTCTTTTTTCTTCGAGTGTAAATCAGAAATGTTTAGTTATAGTATCATAGTCGGATACTAGAACATCTTAAATGAATCCTTACCTATTATTAGGAAAGACAATATGTTGTATTAAGTTAATTTAATTTTCTTCACAAGGGTAAAAATACGACTCAAAAATCTTACCAAGAAGTAAATTGTCACATATGCATAATAATATTTCTAAAAAATATCAATATATTTTTGTCTAATCCACTTTTGATGCCACTCATGATCAGATTCTCACCTGTCCTTCCATCACTTACTTTTGAAATGCATATGCTCACTTTTAGTAGTTTCCGGATGAAAAGAAAACCAGAGTGCGCTCTTGTCTCCCAAGGATTCTGTGAACCATACTAAGGAGTCACGCTCAGATCATTCTAATGTTTTAGTCTTTTAGCTCGATAGATATGATTATGCATTAAACAATTAGAATTAGTGCAATCTGATGCACATTTGACTACATTGCAATCATAAAAACCAATAAGCTCCAGCCACAATAAAACAAATTAGCAAGTAGGGGCATGCGATGGATGTGCCATGATTGACTCCACCTGCTCCCATGTGTAGGGATTAGACAACTAGATCACTCCTAATAAGTCTTAAACCTAGCTGGATTCTTACAGAATATTTAAAACCCTTCTTAATCATTCATACACCATTTTATTCTATAATTTATATTCGTTCAGCATGATCAGTTTCTAGTGGAGTCTAATCTAAATTCTAATTGCGTCTGGTTCACATCACCTCGTTGTCAGCAAAGTAGCCGTTGAAACAAGCAGTGTAGTTCCCTTACAAAGCTGCTGAGCATAACTGACGGCAGAACCAAATCTTGGTGGCAAACGCCCGTTGGACAACTGTATCCAAGTCACTGATTTAATTTTCATTTAAATACACAAGAAATTTTCAAATTAAACTTATTCCTAATTTTAATCTCAAATTTAATTTTCATTTAAATACACAAGAAATTTTCAAATTAAACTTATTCCTAATTTTAATCTCAAATTTCGATCTTATTCAAACTTTATTATAAAAATCGATACATTTTCACGCCACGTCAGCATCGTGGCTAGAAAGTGGGTCGTTTTTTTTAACGTGATCTTAATTAGTCGGGGTTGTCAACCCTGACTATTTTGGACATCTTCCACAATTTGGCTGCTAAATTAGTCGGGATTCGAAACCCCAACCAATTTAGCAGCTATTTAAATTGGTCGCGGTTGGGAACCCCGACCATTTTGAAATGCCTGGCTAGCCCCCAATTACAGAAGTGGGAAATTGGCTAAGGGATAGAATAGTTGGGGTTATCAACCCCGACTACTTGATCTAGTCGCCCGGCCCCCTATATAAACGAACCTAACCCCCCCCCCCCCAACCATCGTTCTCAGCTGCCTCTCACTTCTTTAAAATCGTCACTCTCTTATTTTGCTGTCAGCGATCTCAATTTCAATCCCATTTTGCGGCCGAAATTCGTCGTGAAAGATCTCTAGTGTAATTTCTCTTCCTTCTCTCCTCTTTTAACATGTAGAAATCTAGGATTTTCTCTCAAAAATAAATTTCTAGGGTTTGAACTCTATTCGTAGTGGTTCGAATACTTTGTGTGTTGATTGTTGTAATTAAAATTAAAATTTTAGAGCACAGAGTGCTCAATTCTAGGGTATAGGATTTACAATTTGGGGTTTAGGGTAATTGGTCAAAATTATATGAGATTATTTACATCTTGGCTTTTCAATTTAGGGTTTAGGGTTGTAATTGATAATATTTTTTAAACTTGTTATATTTAAATGATATAATCTTCTTTTGCATGGGTTGAACAATATGATTTTTATTGTTTGCTCTTATGGTGGGAAAATTAATTATGAAATGAATAATATGCCAATGTATGTCGGAGGGGTAACGACATCGTTAATGATCTCGAAATCATATAGTTATCGTGACTTAATTAATGAATTACACCGAGTTACGGGAATTGACCCAGGAGAGTACCGACTAAAAATAATATGTAATTGCTCCATAACTTTTGATAGAACGTCTGCGGTTAAGATCTCAAACGATCATCATATGAGTATTATGTTTAATTTGAGCAAGTCGCAACCAACGATAGAATTGTTTATTGAAAAGTTGTTATATAGTTTGTGCCAAATATTCAACCATCTAGGAGAATTCTCACGCATTTTAGATTTGAAAGTTGAGTCTGATGGTTTTCTTTCTTCTTCGAGTGAAATGGAGCGGACTCAATTTTAATATCACAGTGGTGCGCCTTCATTTGGTGGAACGTCAAACTTCATGAACAATAAAGTCCCTTATGAAAATATGAGGCCGTTAAGAGGGGTAACAATTGAAGAGGATGAAAGAAGCAACGCCTCTGAAAGTGGTGGTCAAGATAGTGTACCAATTGATAGCATGCAATTTGTAAGTGAAGATGTTGAAGAGAATCCGAATTTTCCTAATGAGGCTTATGTTAATAATGAATATGTTGAGTACGAAAAACTATCCCCCGACGAGTTTGAAGATGATGAGTGGATTCATTCTTCTACAGTACAAGATATGTGCATTGGCCAAAGTTCAACTCATAGAGGCGATGATGACGTTCCTTTCAAAGTTGATGATTTATTCGAGACTAAGGACCAATTGGTTGCGATTCGTGATTACTCAATCAAAAAGAATGTCAAATTCAAGCAAGTTAAAAGCAATCGCATAAGTTATGATGCAATTCGTTTTATGAATACACAAAGGAAAGGTCGGGCCGAGAGAAACAAAGCTTATTACACATGCCCTTGGAAGTTATATGCATTTGCCGGAAAGAAACGTAATGGGCATTTTAGGATCATAGAATATTACGGTGTTCACACATATAGCAATCTGATATTAGAGCAAGATCACAGTGGTATATCTGCCTCTTACATAGCGTGGTTGATTATGCCAAAATTAAAGAAGAAGTTTGAATTAACTCCCAATAATATAATTGAGAGAGTGCTAGATATGAAGTTCATTGAAATATTGTATAGTAAAGCATGGAATGTAAGGAGAATTGCGATAACAAAAATATTTGGTGATTGGGAGAAGTCTTACGCGACACTACCTCAATATCTTGAAGCGGCAAAAAGAAGCAATCATGGATCTGAATACAAACTCATAACCAAAGAGATCAATCCGGGAGTTCATCAATTAACCTCTGTATTTTGGGTATTTGGTCCTTCGATCGAGGGATTTGAATTTTGTCGGTTGGTTCTTAGCATTGATGGCACACACTTATACGGTAAATATAAGAGTGTATTTTTTGTTGCTACAGGAGTAGATGTAGATGGTGGCTTATATCCTTTGGCCTTCATAGTTGTGGAAGTCGAGAACAGTGAAAATTAAGAGTGGTTTTTTTTCTTGCATTCAATTACTTTTATAATTTTATTCTACTTTCTTTATACTTATTTATGAAATCTGTAATTTTATTGTACTTCTAATTTAGCATACGTCATAATACTGACACATTTTATCATCATATGTGCATATATTTACAATATGGAGGCGGGTCCGTTGACATATGAGGTCCTTTATGACCAAGATCGACACTGATCCGCGAAGATAGACTCTGAGGAGGTAAATTATATTTTTATTATTTTCAATCATATAAATTTTTCTAAAGGTTACGTTTGCAATTGATTATGGATTGGTATGTGATTATTTGTGTTTGAAAAAATATGTGTTTATTTGTGTTTGTGATTGCATTGTGGATTGATAAATGTATACCAATAGTTGTTAACTTGTGGATTGATATGTAATAGCAGGAGTGAGATTTTCCAGCTGAGTGTGGGCTGGAGAATCTCTGCCAAATGGTCGGGGTTCCCAACCCCGACCATTTCTGACGTTGGCTAAAATAAAGTCTCTGCTAAATGGTCAGGGTTAGGAACTCCAACCATTTCGAATTAGGCATTTTGAAATGGTCGGGGTTCCCAACCCCGACCAATTTAAATAGCTGCAAAATTAGTTAGAGTTTCGAACCCCAACTAATTTGGATTCGGATCCTCTCCACTACAAAAAAAACAGTGGAGGGACCACTACATAATCACGGCCATTGATTATCTAATTAATGGTTGTGATTTTTTCTTTTAGTGTAAATTAGGAATGAGTGCAATACACGGGGGTATGGTAAGTGTTAGATTTAGATTGTATCATAACCGCCTATTAAATAATCAACGATTGAGATTAAAAGCAGTGATCTCTCCACTACTTTTTTGTAGTGGAGAGGATCCAAATCCAACTAATTTAGTAGTCAAATTGTCAGCGACGTCCAAAATAGTCGGGGTTGCCAACCCCGGCTAATTAGGATCGCGTTTAAAAAAATCGACTCACTTTCTGACCACGATGCTAATGTGACGAGAAAGTGGGTCGATTTTTGTAATAAAGTTTGAATAAAGTTAATTTTTTATAATAAAATTTGGAATTAGTTTATTTAGAAAATTTCTTCTTTAAATATGCTCTTGCAATGTCAATCAAAATTCAAGAGTCTTTGCGTTATGCGGTCCACGTGTAAACAAACAGTTACGGAATCTAAATTTTTGTTAATTGCGCTAGCTAATATGCAGTAATTTCCTATCACCGTATTAATAGAAGGTGAGATGTCGAGATATGACCTTAATGTGATATAAGAGTTGTTTAAATATGACAAATTTGTCGAATGCGTTTATTAATATGTTAAATATATATGAAAAACTAAGATTGATATTTTTTTTTGAATATCGGATATTGATCCATATATTGTACGTATACATCTGTAGCCACATATTTGTATCAATTTGCATCCCTAGGATTAGTGGACCACATAGTTGTAGTTTATACGCCAGATATATAAGACTTGATCTTGTTGTATGTCCATGCAAAACGCTATCTTTTCTAACTCTGTGAATCTTATTTTGAGGCCAGGATGTGACGTTAATGAATTTGGCTACCAATACCTAGGGGTGGCAATTTATGACCCGACCCATTAACCCGACCCGACCCGACCCATTTATAATGGGTACGGGTCAAATTATATGGGTCGGGTCATAAACGGGTCAACCCAAATTTACCCATTTATTAAATGGGTCAATTCGGGTTGGCCTATTGACCCGTATAACAAAAATCCCGACCCGTGTAACAAACTTCGTTCCCTCACTCTCTTAAGTGCGTCGCTCTGGAGAAAGAAAAAAAAAAGAAAAGCTGCAGAAGAAAAGAAAAACCCTAGATCCTCACGAAGCTCAAGCGACGAGCGGCCTAGATCCCATCACGAAGCTCGAGCGGTGAGCGGCTAACGGCGAGCGACGGCAAGCAACAGCGAGCGGCGGCAAACGGCGAGCGACAGTGATCGGCGAGCGGCAGTGATCGGCGAGCGGCAGCGATCCTCGAACCATAGTTCCTCTCTCTCCTCTCGAGCGCTCGAGTTCTCCTCTCTCCATCGAGCAGCCATAGTTCCTCCTCCCTCTCTCCAATCGAGCCCAGTTCCTCTTGAACAGAAGAATCAGATCTTCAATCGAGCTAATCACTGGATTTTGAGCCTCTCTCCATCGAGCAGCCATAGTTCCTCCTCCCTCTAATCACTGGATTTTGAGGTACACTCTTGGCTAGGGCTTTTTGATCTTTCGTTCTATCAATTTTGGGGTTTTTTCATCCTATCCTCTTTCAATTTTGGGGGTTTATTGAAATTACAAATCAATTTTGGGGGTTTTTTTCATCCTTTTTGCTTGTCTTGCTATCTATATTTGTTTCTGATATGAGATGCTTTACTTCAAACATTTTTATTCAGGCGTACTGATGTTGAGCAATAACAGTTTTTGGTAACACCGCGCATGATGAGTATATATTATTAGTCCTGCATAACAGAAGAATAACATGATTTAGTTTAGTTTAATTTAAGATTTTACTTGAACTTGTTAAGTTCATTAATGCCTGAATGAAATTTACGAGAAGGAATATATAATGTTGACCTACTATGCATTGAAAAACATATACTATATTTATATATTTAACTACTGTTGGTGTATGCATGATAGTCCTTTACTTTGAGAATGAAAATCATGTAATCATGAAAAGTTTTCTCATTGCAGAATATCATATAATCATGAAAAGATTTGTCATTCCAGGATATTATATCCATAATCTTGTGATAATAAGTAGGCATCTCACGATCAACTACTGGTGACATGCAGTTTGTATTTTAGATACTGGTTTGAATATTTTTTAAGTGTTGCTTTGCTGAACTATATGCGGACTTAAGTTTCTTCATACTCAAATGTTAATTCTGTTTAGAATCAGTTAATTTGTGTTATCTGTTGAATTTTATTTAATTTTATTAATCTTATGTAGTTATGTAATTTTCATCACAGTTAATGGAGTCTAATTATATAGCCGATAATGTAGAAGCGGATTCATCTAATGAAGAATTAGAAGACATGTCTAGTCCTGTTCAGAAAAAATCAAAAGCGATAATTGTTGGAAGTCGAAAAAGAAAATTAACGTCCAAAGCTTGGAAAATGTTTGACCTTGTTGAAGAGCCAGGTGGGAAACAATATTCAATATGTAAGAAGTGTGGAATCAAATATATTGCCGAAGGTAACCATGGTACAAAGAACATGTTAAGACACATGAAAATTTGTAAGAAAACTACTAGAGAAGATATTGAGGGTCTATCTAACTCAAAAGATTCTATAATGAGTTCCTCAAGAGTTAATTTTGACCCGGATAAGTTTAGGGAGCTCTTAGTCTCGGCCATCATTATGCACGATTTGCCATTTCAATTTGTTGAGTATGAAGGTATTCGAGCTATCTTCTCTTATCTTTGTGAGGATATAAAACACATATCAAGAAATACGGTTAAAGCCGATGTTCTTAAAATCTATGGAAGAGAGAAAAATAGGCTAAAAGAAGCTTTTGAGTCGATTCCAGGTAGAATTAACTTGACTTCTGATTTGTGGACATCAATAGCCACCGACGGATATATTTGTCTCACGGCACACTACATTGATCATGAGTGGAAATTACAAAATCGGGTTCTTAACTTTTCTTATATGCCACCTCCTCATTCCGGTGTTGCCATTTGTGAGAAGATCTATAAGTTGTTAGTTGATTGGAAAATTGAAAAGAAGTTGTTTTCTTTCACTCTTGATAATGCCTCCGCAAATGATGTTTTTGTTGATTTATTGAAAAAACAACTTAATTTGAAAGAAGCACTTCTTGGGAAGGGAGAATTTTTTCATATTAGATGTTGTACCCATATCCTCAACGATGCTCGTGAAACTACACGCGGCTTGCGGGCTAATCTCTTCCGCCTAGCAGCAGGGACAATAATCGAAGGTCTCGCCTGGGGAGAAGGACGGAACTCTTCATCTTGGTCAGCTGTGGTCCCTGAAACATCAAACCATTGTCAGGTTTAATAATTCTGGAAGATAAAAGGAAAGAGTAAGAAACTGACCTCGTTCAGAACAGTTCTCGTGATCTTCAAGATCTCCGCCTGAAGCTTCATCAGCAGAATGAAAGATCTTCTTTCCCTCTTCGTCAATCCGACGAGTCTTGTGCCGTGCCCTTTGTGATCGAGCATTTTCCCAAATCATATGAGAATCAGCCTGAGAAGCCTCCTCAGCCTCTAGCTCTGCAATCGGCTTTACGGGGACAGTTTTATTAGCTGCTAACAACCACTTGCAGCTTAAGAAGGTGAGGTTCAACTGCCGCTCAGTACTCGGGAGATTGAACTTAGCACCAGTGCAGCCCGTCACGGTCCACAACCATGCACGAAGACCGTCCACCAAACCGCCGTGGGTCCGAAGCTGCTGACGTGGATTCCCGACATAAAGCTGATCATAGCCAAACTGGCGAGCGAATCGGTAGGGTAGGTATGGCTCTATGAAACACTGATTCCTCACCCGGAAAGTCAGATAACCCGGCCTGATGTTCACCAGCCAGTTAAAGCAGCCGACGTCTAAATGAGTTCGATACCCCCTCGGCTTTTCCTCATCAATCAGACACTCGCCGTATCGGTCGGAGAACTGTGGAAAGCAAGTGGAAAACGCCCAACACTTGTGGACCTGTAGCTGCTGTCTGACGTCAGGGAATCCTCGCCCCTCCCACTTGCCATTCTCAAACAACTGTAGTAGGGGAGCGGAGGGGTCTGTGGCATACGGTACTGACATCATATCGGAACGATGAAGGACGAACCAAGCCATCAAATAAGTGTATGGAAGCTCCACCTTAATGGTAGGAATCTGAGTCGGTGGTCCACTTTCCTTAGTGTACGGAAGCTCCACCTTAATAGTAGGAATCTGAGCCGGTGATTCACTTTCCTTCTGTGTAAAAGCACTAGAAATCTGTCGAAGCCCTCGATGAATGTTAGCCACCAT